GGTGCACCATAACCCCAGGGTGTGCCACAGAGGAAAGGTGCGCCATAACCCCAGGGTGTGCCACAGAGGAAAGGAGCGCCATAACACCAGGGTGTGTCACAGAGGAAAGGTGCGCCATAACCCCAGGGTGTGCCACAGAGGAAAGGTGCACCATAACCCCAGGGTGTGCCACAGAGGAAAGGTGCACCATAACCCCAGGGTGTGCCACAGAGGAAAGGTGCACCATAACCCCAGGGTGTGCCACAGAGGAAAGGTGCGCCATAACCCCAGGGTGTGCCACAGAGGAAAGGTGCACCATAACCCCAGGGTGTGCCACAGAGGAAAGGTGCACCATAACCCCAGGGTGTGCCACAGAGGAAAGGTGCACCATAACCCCAGGGTGTGCCACAGAGGAAAGGTGCACCATAACCCCAGGGTGTGCCACAGAGGAAAGGTGCACCATAACCCCAGGGTGTGCCACAGAGGAAAGGTGCACCATAACCCCAGGGTGTGCCACAGAGGAAAGGTGCGCCATAACCCCAGGGTGTGCCACAGAGGAAAGGTGCGCCATAACCCCAGGGTGTGCCACAGAGGAAAGGTGCGTCATAACCCCAGGGTGTGCCACAGAGGAAAGGTGCGCCATAACCCCAGGGTGTGCCACAGAGGAAAGGTGCCACCATAACCCCAGGGTGTGCCACCATAACCCCAGGGTGTGCCACAGAGGAAAGGTGCGGGTGTGCCATAACCCCAGGGTGTGCCACAGAGGAAAGGTGCGCCATAACCCCAGGGTGTGCCACAGAGGAAAGGTGCGTAACCCCAGGGTGTGCCACAGAGGAAAGGTGCGCCATAACCCCAGGGTGTGCCACAGAGGAAAGGTGCGCCATAACCCCAGGGTGTGCCACAGAGGAAAGGTGCGCCATAACCCCAGGGTGTGCCACAGAGGAAAGGTGCGCCATAACCCCAGGGTGTGCCACAGAGGAAAGGAGCGCCATAACCCCAGGGTGTGCCACAGAGGAAAGGTGCGCCATAACCCCAGGGTGTGCCACAGAGGAAAGGTGCGTCATAACCCCAGGGTGTGCCACAGAGGAAAGGTGCGTCATAACCCCAGGGTGTGCCACAGAGGAAAGGTGCGCCATAACCCCAGGGTGTGCCACAGAGGAAAGGTGCGCCATAACCCCAGGGTGTGCCACAGAGGAAAGGTGCGTCATAACCCCAGGGTGTGCCACAGAGGAAAGGTGCGTCATAACCCCAGGGTGTGCCACAGAGGAAAGGTGCGTCATAACCCCAGGGTGTGCCACAGAGGAAAGGTGCGCCATAACACCAGGGTGTGCCACAGAGGAAAGGTGCGCCATAACACCAGGGTGTGCCACAGAGGAAAGGTGCGCCATAACCCCAGGGTGTGCCACAGAGGAAAGGTGCGTCATAACCCCAGGGTGTGCCACAGAGGAAAGGTGCGCCATAACCCCAGGGTGTGCCACAGAGGAAAGGTGCGCCATAACCCCAGGGTGTGCCACAGAGGAAAGGTGCGCCATAACCCCAGGGTGTGCCACAGAGGAAAGGTGCGCCATAACCCCAGGGTGTGCCACAGAGGAAAGGTGCACCATAACCCCAGGGTGTGCCACAGAGGAAAGGTGCACCATAACCCCAGGGTGTGCCACAGAGGAAAGGTGCACCATAACCCCAGGGTGTGCCACAGAGGAAAGGTGCACCATAACCCCAGGGTGTGCCACAGAGGAAAGGTGCACCATAACCCCAGGGTGTGCCACAGAGGAAAGGTGTGCCAAACCCCAGGGTGTGCCACAGAGGAAAGGTGCACCATAACCCCAGGGTGTGCCACAGAGGAAAGGTGCACCATAACCCCAGGGTGTGCCACAGAGGAAAGGTGCACCATAACCCCAGGGTGTGCCACAAGGTTGACCCCAGAAATAAATGGAACGAAATATTAAATTAAGCAAATAACGTTGCACCTCATATGGCGAGATAAAAGGACACCCAGAGGAGACCTGATTGCGACATGCGAGGTATTTACATACAGACAATCAACACCAGGACGCAATATTTACCATGTGTGAAGGAACTGAACCAGAGAGAGGGCACATGACAATATTTACCATGTGTGAAGGAACTGAACCAGAGAGAGGGCACATGACAATATTTACCATGTGTGAAGGAACTGAACCAGAGAGAGGGCACATGACAATATTTACCATGTGTGAAGGAACTGAACCAGAGAGAGGGCACATGACAATATTTACCATGTGTGAAGGAACTGAACCAGAGAGAGGGCACATGACAATATTTACCATGTGTGAAGGAACTGAACCAGAGAGAGGGCACATGACAATATTTACCATGTGTGAAGGAACTGAACCAGAGAGAGGGCACATGACAATTATAGATACAAAGTATTCATAGGAATGTATAATTTTTGTTGTTCTTTTCAATAAAGTTCTTTATAAAAAGGGATTGCAAGATAAGGTCAGACGATGGGATATAAACTGTCTCTCAAGGAAACATTAGGACTATCGACTGCCTCTCAAGAACCATTAGGACTATCAACAATTATCTCACGAAGCATTTTATACCTCGCTATTCCTGTCACACTCCCTGCATGTCTTCCCTTCCCTCTCCCTCTCTCTCCCCTCCCTCTCTCACCTCTCCCCCCTCCCTCTCTCACCCCTCCCTCCTTGTGTACCTCTGCCTCCTCTCCCTCTCCCTGCATCTGGTAGTCAAACCACGGAGGGACAAGTCATTTTGGAGGCGTGAAATTAAATTTTCTTCATCTTGGGCGTTTGTATGCAGGACGCAGAGCTGGAGTCGTGTTTGGCGCGATCTTTGCTTCTCTAGTTGGAAGGGCCACTCACCCTCCTTTACCTACATACCTCCCTACCCACCTACCTACGCCTCCCTCCCTCCCGTGTTCCTGTCTCGGAGACTTTCGTTCGAATCCAGACGCCCTGACGCGTTCGTGAACCCTCTATTGTTTCGTGTATTTGTTGCTTTGGTTTCTGTATTTTTTTAGTTTGCAAGTCGGATGTTGGACGCGGAGTGATCTCGGCTGACAGGGAGGTCGTTCCGGGGCTGTGGTCGAGGCTCTGGGATGGTTCGCGTGTGAAGGTCTTGGACTGAATCTTAACTGTGAACACTCACAAAAAACTGGGGAATTTATCAGTAGGGTAAATTGGACGTCATGCAGGCTACCGAGGGGAGGGAAGGAGGGGGGGGAGAGAAGAGGTGTGAGGGAAGGGAGAGGGGAGAGAGGGAGGGGGTAGACAAGCAGGGGGAAGGAATGGAGGATAAAAGAGGGGGAGGGTTTAATGGTGACAAGAGTCAAATATTGGAAGAAATATGGGAAGAGTTTAAAGAGAGAATATATGAGAAATGGAAATGAAGGGTAAACTGGAGTGTAAAGGAAGATACGAGGAGTCAGAGGAGAAGCTATAAGAGAGGAGTAGACGGGGAGGAGAGAGAGAGAGAGAAAAAAAAAGGCATGAGATGACGGGATTGAGTTAGAGAATAAATGAGATAAAATAGAAGAAGGAACTAAGAATCCATCCCACCATGAACACCCCAGAACTGGGCTCCCACCCCCCCAACGGATAAAGAACACCCCCCCCCTTACCCCTCAAAGGATCTAAGAATCCACGCACCCCCCCCCCCATGGGGCCCAGAACCCTCCCTCACGGAGTAGGGGGGACCCCCCATCCTAAGCAATAACTGGCCGACCATCTCGAATGGCTTGTATACAACTTTCCAAATTTGATGTCTCGATATGACCTTCGCTCTCTCGAATTTTCCTTCGCTATCACTTTTATGGTGTTTGGTGGAGGGGGGAGGGGGTGCTGTAGGGTGTTTGGGGGAGGGGGTCCTGTAGGGTGTTGGCGGTGGTCCTGTAGGGTGTTGGGGGGGGGTGTGGTCCTGTAGAGTGTTGGAGGGGGGAGGGAGGGGGTCCTGTAGGGTGTTGGGGGGGGGTGGTCCTGTAGAGTGTTGGAGGGGGGGAAGGGGGTCCTGTAGGGTGTTGGGGGGGCTGGTCCTGTAGGGTGTTGGGGGGGGGGTGGTCCTGTAGAGTGTTGGAGGGGGGGAGGGGGTCCTGTAGGGTGTTGGGGGGGTGGTCCTGTAGAGTGTTGGAGGGGGGGGGGAGGGGGTCCTGTAGGGTGTTGGCGGTGGTCCTGTAGGGTGTTGGGGGGGTGGTCCTGTAGAGTGTTGGAGGGGGGGGAAGGGGGTCCTGTAGGGTGTTGGCGGTGGTCCTGTAGGGTGTTGGGGGGGGGGTGGTCCTGTAGAGTGTTGGAGGGGGGGGAAGGGGGTCCTGTAGGGTGTTGGCGGTGGTCCTGCAGGGTGTTGGGGGGGGTCCTGTAGAGTGTTGGGGGGGGGAAGGGGGTCCTGTAGGATGTTGGGGGGGTGGTCCTGTAGAGTGTTGGAGGGGGGGAAGGGGGTCCTGTAGGGTGTTGGCGGTGGTCCTGTAGGGTGTTGGGGGGGCTGGTCCTGTAGGGTGTTGGGGGGGGGGTGGTCCTGTAGAGTGTTGGAGGGGGGGGGGAAGGGGGTCCTGTAGGGTGTTGGGGTTATGTTATCGAAATCAATTCCAATGTAACAACAAAAGGAAAGGAAATTTAAAATAATTATAGTTTTACAAAACATTTTGTATTGCCCTATCATGCTGTAGTTATAAATTACGTATTGCACGTATCCTGCAGTATCTTGCAGTGGCTATATTAACGGTAATTAGGCTACTGCGCATATCCTAGGAGTCGTTAACCTCAATTCAAGATGGCGGCTACTGGTCGCCCCTAAATGTTGAAACCTCACGGTAGGTTAGGTTAGGGGTAGGTTAAGTTATGCTATGGGTTTTATGTTAGGTTTAGGGTCAGGTTAGTTAAGGCAGAGCTATTTCCTCATCTTGTAAACGCCACTCTCTGGATATATTGAAAATCTTACCCAAACCTTGTTCAGTATTGTTAATTTAGGATATTTCTTCATTCTCTTAATGAAATGTGACAAATAAATTTCGGACTCAACTGACGATGCTAGTGAGAGTTCTGGCCAACGCGAGCGGGAGTTTTGGCCAGCGCGAGCGGGAGTTCTGGCCAGCGTGAGCGGGAGTTCTGGCCAGCGTGAGCGGGAGTTCTGGCCAGCGTGAGCGGGAGTTTTGGCCAGCGCGAGCGGGAGTTCTGGCCAGCGTGAGCGGGTGTTTTGGCCAGCGCGAGCGGGAGTTCTGGCCAGCGTGAGCGGGAGTTCTGGCCAGCGTGAGCGGGAGTTCTGGCCAGCGTGAGCGGGAGTTCTGGCCAGCGTGAGCGGGAGTTCTGGCCAGCGTGAGCGGGAGTTTTGGCCAGCGCGAGCGGGAGTTTTGGCCAACGTGAGCGGGAGTTTTGGAAAACGTGAGCGGGAGTTTTGGCCAGCGTGAGCGGGAGTTCTGGCCAGCGTGAGCGGGAGTTCTGGCCAGCGTGAGCGGGAGTTTTGGCCAGCGCGAGCGGGAGTTTTGGCCAACGTGAGCGGGAGTTTTGGCCAACGTGAGCGGGAGTTTTGGCCAGCGCGAGCGGGAGTTCTGGCCAGCGTGAGCGGGAGTTCTGGCCAACGTGAGCGGGAGTTTTGGCCAGCGCGAGCGGGAGTTCTGGCCAGCGTGAGCGGGAGTTCTGGCCAGCGTGAGCGGGAGTTCTGGCCAGCGTGAGCGGGAGTTCTGGCCAGCGTGAGCGGGAGTTCTGGCCAGCGTGAGCGGGAGTTTTGGCCAGCGCGAGCGGGAGTTTTGGCCAACGTGAGCGGGAGTTTTGGCCAACGTGAGCGGGAGTTTTGGCCAGCGTGAGCGGGAGTTTTGGCCAGCGTGAGCGGGAGTTCTGGCCAGCGTGAGCGGGAGTTCTGTCCAGCGTGAGCGGGAGTTCTGGCCAGCGTGAGCGGGAGTTCTGGCCAGCGTGAGCGGGAGTTCTGGCCAGCGTGAGCGGGAGTTCTGGCCAGCGTGAGCGGGAGTTCTGGCCAGCGTGAGCGGGAGTTCTGGCCAGCGTGAGCGGGAGTTCTGGCCAGCGTGAGCGGGAGTTCTGGCCACCGTGAGCGGGAGTTCTGGCCAGCGTGAGCGGGAGTTCTGGCCAGCGTGAGCGGGAGTTTTGGCCAGCGTGAGCGGGAGTTCTGGCCAGCGTGAGCGGGAGTTCTGGCCAGCGTGAGCGGGAGTTTTGGCCAGCGCGAGCGGGAGTTTTGGCCAACGTGAGCGGGAGTTTTGGCCAACGTGAGCGGGAGTTTTGGCCAGCGTGAGCGGGAGTTTTGGCCAGCGTGAGCGGGAGTTTTGGCCAGCGTGAGCGGGAGTTTTGGCCAACGCGAGCGGGAGTTTTGGCCAGCGCGAGCGAGAGTTTAGGCCAGCGCGAGCGAGAGTTTTGGTCAGCGCGAGCGGGAGTTTTGGCCAGCGCGAGCTGGAGTTTTGGCCAGCGTGAGCGGGAGTTTTGGCCAGCGCCAGCGGGAGTTTTGGCCAGCGCGAGCGGGAGTTTTGGCCAGCGCGAGCGGAGTTTTGGCCAGCGTGAGCGGGAGTTTTGGCCAGCGCGAGCGGGAGCTTTGGCCAGCGCGAGCGGAGTTTTGGCCAGCGCGAGCGGGAGTTTTGGCCAGCGCGAGCGAGAGTTTTGGCCAGCGCGAGCGAGAGTTTTGGCCAGCGCGAGCGGGAGCTTTGGCCAGCGCGAGCGGGAGTTTTGGCCAGCGTGAGCGGGAGTTTTGGCCAGCGCGAGCGGGAGCTTTGGCCAGCGCGAGCGAGAGTTTTGGCCAGCGTGAGCGGGAGCTTTGGCCAGCGTGAGCGGGAGTTTTGGCCAGCGTGAGCGGGAGTTTTGGCCAACGTGAGCGGGAGTTTTGGCCAGCGCGAGCGGGAGCTTTGGCCAGCGCGAGCGAGAGTTTTGGCCAGCGTGAGCGGGAGCTTTGGCCAGCGCGAGCGGGAGTTTTGGCCAGCGTGAGCGGGAGTTTTGGCCAGCGTGAGCGGGAGTTTTGGCCAACGCGAGCGGGAGTTTTGGCCAGCGCGAGCGAGAGTTTAGGCCAGCGCGAGCGAGAGTTTTGGTCAGCGCGAGCGGGAGTTTTGGCCAGCGCGAGCTGGAGTTTTGGCCAGCGTGAGCGGGAGTTTTGGCCAGCGCCAGCGGGAGTTTTGGCCAGCGCGAGCGGGAGTTTTGGCCAGCGCGAGCGGAGTTTTGGCAAGCGTGAGCGGGAGTTTTGGCCAGCGCGAGCGGGAGCTTTGGCCAGCGCGAGCGGAGTTTTGGCCAGCGCGAGCGGAGTTTTGGCCAGCGCGAGCGGAGTTTTGGCCAGCGCGAGCGGGAGTTTTGGCCAGCGCGAGCGGGAGTTTTGGCCAGCGCGAGCGGGAGTTTTGGCCAGCGCGAGCGGGAGCTTTGGCCAGCGCGAGCGGGAGTTTTGGCCAGCGTGAGCGGGAGTTTTGGCCAGCGCGAGCGGGAGCTTTGGCCAGCGCGAGCGAGAGTTTTGGCCAGCGTGAGCGGGAGCTTTGGCCAGCGTGAGCGGGAGTTTTGGCCAGCGTGAGCGGGAGTTTTGGCCAACGTGAGCGGGAGTTCTGGCCAGCAGGAGTTTTGGCCAGCGTGAGCGGGAGCTTTGGCCAGCGTGAGCGGGAGTTTTGGCCAAGTCAAAGGGGAGTTTTGACCAATACTGAAGGAGATATGACGCCTCAGGAGCGACATAATATATGCATATTAACCAAACATTGGGAGTGAGTGACTCTATATATGTATATTGCTCTAATTACTGTGTGGACGAATGTTTCTGCATCCTTGTGTTAGCTAGAGACGGTCTAAGAGTCATAGAGTTAGCTTAAGCGGGTTATAGAAGTACTAGAGTTTCCAGAAAGAGGATTCTAGTGTTAATATAATTTGCGAGGTCCTATTGTCCTAGAGGTAGCTAGAGAAGCTCAGTGTATAATTTTCTAGAAAGTGGTTCCAGTAACCAAAAGGTTAACTACACAGGAATCTGGTAGTTCCTGAGGTAGCTTGAGAGAGTCACAACATTTCCTGAGTTAGACACTGGTATCTGGATGTTCCCGAACAAACTGAAGAAGGGTCTAGCAATCTCTGTATTAGCGAAAGACGATCATTATAGTCCTAAGGCAAGCAAGAGAGGGACCTGGATGCCCTAGATTTACCTAAAGAGAGACTTGGTTGCTATAGATTTACCTAAAGAGGGATCTGGTATCCCTAGATTTACCAAAAGAGGGACTTGCTTGCGCCAGAATTTACCTAAAGAGGGACCTGCAATGCCAAAGTATTAGCTGAGAGTGTAACCTGTTGGCACCAGTGTACATCAATGTTATTGGCACCAGTGTACATCAATACTGTTAACACCAGTGTACATCAATACTGTTGGCACCAGTGTACATCAATGCTGTTGGCACCAGTGTACATCAATACTGTTGGCACCAGTGTACATCAATGTGTTGGCACAGTGTACATCAATGCTGTTGGCACCAGTGTACATCAATACTGTTGGCACCAGTGTACATCAATACTGTTGGCACCAGTGTACATCAATACTGTTGGCACCAGTGTACATCAATGCTGTTAACACCAGTGTACATCAATACTGTTGGCACCAGTGTACATCAATGCTGTTGGCACCAGTGTACATCAATACTGTTGGCACCAGTGTACATCAATGCTGTTGGCACCAGTGTACATCAATACTGTTGGCACCAGTGTACATCAATGCTGTTGGCACCAGTGTACATCAATACTGTTGGCACCAGTGTACATCAATACTGTTGGCACCAGTGTACATCAATACTGTTAACACCAGTGTACATCAATACTGTTGGCACCAGTGTACATCAATGCTGTTGGCACACCAGTGTACCAGTGTACATCAATACTGTTGACACCAGTGTACATCAATACTGTTGGCACACATCAGTGTACATCAATACCAGTGTACATCAATGCTGTTGGCACCAGTGTACATCAATACTGTTGGCACCAGTGTACATCAATACTGTTGGCACCAGTGTACATCAATACTGTTGACACCAGTGTACATCAATACTGTTGTGTACACCAGTGTACATCAATACTGTTGACACCAGTGTACATCAATACTGTTGACACCAGTGTACATCAATACTCTTAACACCAGTGTACATCAATACTGTTGACCAGTGTACATCAATGCTGTTGGCACAGTGTACATCAATACTGTTGGCACCAGTGTACATCAATGCTGTTGGCACCAGTGTACATCAATACTGTTGGCAACACCAGTGTACATCAATACTGTACATCAATACTGTTGGCACCAGTGTACACAATCAATGCACCAGTGTACATCAATACTGTTGTTGGCACCAGTGTCACCAGTGTTGGCACCAGTGTACATCAATACTGTTGGCACCAGTGTACATCAATACTGTTGGCATCAGTGTACATCAATACTGTTGGCACCAGTGTACATCAATGCTGTTGGCACCAGTGTACATCAATACTGTTAACACCAGTGTACATCAATACTGTTGGCACCAGTGTACATCAATACTGTTGGCACCAGTGTACATCAATACTGTTGGCACATCAATACTGTTGACACCAGTGTACATCAATACTGTTGGCACCAGTGTACATCAATACTGTTGACACCAGTGTACATCAATACTGTTGACACCAGTGTACATCAATACTGTAAACACCAGTTCATCAATACTGTTGATTACATCACTGTGACACCAGTGTACAATTGAAGATCTTTCAAGATTCCACGTGACACGTTTGGCACATTGTTCATGCAGTTGGCGGAGACTAAAGTTAGCAAGACTCCCAAGGTGCAAGAGATGATGTAGGAGTGGGAGGGCCGGGCGGCAAGTGACCAGAGGACGACAAGTCTGCGGGCAAACACAGCCACAGTTCAGTTACTCGCCCTCCAGTTATTGATTTATTTTATTTATCTATGTACAAGAGTTCTTACATTCTAGGACACCCACTAGCACGCATAGCGTTTAGGGCATCAGCATGTAGCATAGCGGTATATGATAGAAGAGTATACCCTTCAATTCCCCCCCCCCCCTCTGGTATCCACTCACAATAGAAACAATTCCTAGGGTATATTAACGACGCAAGAGGTTCCCAGAGAGCTGTGACCAGGTACTTTACCAGAAATGTAAGGCAGGGTTGTTAACCCAACCCGTCCTCTTAACTATATGGTACGTTATGGTCACCAGTGTACCGTGCTAACTACCACTTGTAGGTAGAACGAGAGGTCCTTACGAGACCTTGTACCACAGAATTAGGTAAACACGATCCCGATAGACAGACATACAGACAGATAGACAGACAACGACCTCCACGGGCCGACTCTTCTGCGCCTTCTACACCAGCTATTTTCTTCAGCGCCCCGCCCAGCACTCTCTAGGGAGGCGGGGAGCATGTTGTGCTTGACGAGTTGTGATTGTGGGGGATGGAGGGGGATGGAGGAATGGGAGGGGGGAGGGGAGAGGAGGAAAGGGAGGGGGAGAGAAGGGGGGAGTAGGTGGATGAAAGTTAGGAGGATCGCAGAGGGAGGTGGATAAATGGGGAGGGAGAGGAGAGAATGGAGAATGAGAGGGATAAAGAGAGAGAGAGAGAGAGTGAGTGACAGGAAGGGGAGAGACGTTGAAGGAACGATATGAGGGAGGCTTATGTTGAGGGCAGTACGTCGAGGTTGGCTCAAGAGGGCGATGTCTTGGAGGGCCAGGTCGTAGAGGGCCAGGTCGTGGAGGGCCAGGTCGTAGAGGGCCAGGTCGTAGAGGGCCAGGTCGTGGAGGGCCTGGTCGTAGAGGGCTAGGTCGTAGAGGGCCAGGTCGTGGAGGGCCTGGTCGTAGAGGGTCAGGTCGTAGAGGGCCAGGTCGTGGAGGGCCTGGTCGTAGAGGGCCAGGTCGTGGAGGGCCAGGTCGTGGAGGGCCTGGTCGTAGAGGGCCAGATCGTGGAGGGCCAGGTCGTGGAGGGCCAGGTCGTGGAGGGCCAGGTCGTGGAGGGCCAGGTCGTAGAGGGCCAGGTCGTAGAGGGCCAGGTCGTGGAGGGCCTGGTCGTAGAGGGCCAGGTCGTAGAGGGCCAGGTCGTGGAGGGCCAGGTCGTAGAGGGCCAGGTCGTGGAGGGCCAGGTCGTAGAGGGCCAGGTCGTGGAGGGCCAGGTCGTAGAGGGCCAGGTCGTGGAGGGCCAGGTCGTAGAGGGCCAGGTCGTAGAGGGCCAGGTCGTAGAGGGCCAGGTCGTAGAGGGCCAGGTCGTAGAGGTGGTTCTGGGGGCGATAGTGAGTTGTGTGTTGATGTTGCTCCAGTAGAGAGAGAGAGAGAGAGAGAGAGAGAGAGAGAGAGAGAGAGAGAGAGAGAGAGAGAGAGAGAGAGAGAGAGAGAGAGAGAGAGAGAGAGAGAGAGAGAGAGAGAGAGATTACTGTCTAATGAGATAATTTATTAATTAGCTATAATTATATTAACCATCCCCTATTATAATATTGTTTAAAAATAGTAATATATTCAATAATATTTGTATTAGAAATAATATTAATGCAAATAATATAAATACAAATAATTATAACAATACCAATATAATAACAATAATAATAATAATATAAATATATAAATAATAAACATTATTATAGGAATAGTAATAACAATAGTTACATTGAACAATAATGTAATAATTATTTTAATACAATAAATGCACATCCTAGGGATTACCAGTTGACTTCACTATGCTTCCTTCCCTCATGACTAACCTGGAGGTATTGCATCACACAGAGAATAAGGTAATTCCATCAGATACACATCTTACTGAAGACGGTTCACCAATGGACTTTAAAACCTACACAACCTTTCCCAACTTAACTTATCCAATGTAACTTAACATTAACTAAAACCTACGTAACCTCACCTATCCTTATTTAACTTAACCAAGAATAGCCCAACAGAAGACCATATATCATAAACTAACAAAATATATACGCGTTTAACAGGTAGAAAACGGGCTCTGTCGAATCGTGTCGAGTTCAATTTATCAAACACTTGCCTTGACTGTCTAATGACTCAAACACCTTGAGAATGACTGTCTAATGACTCAAACACCTTGAGAATGACTGTCTAATGACACAAACATCTTGAGAATGACTGTCTAATGACTCAAACACCTTGAGAATGACTGTCTAATGACACAAACACCTTGAGAATGACTGTCTAATGACTCAAACACCTTGAGAATGACTGTCTAATGACTCAAACATCTTGAGAATGACTGTCTAATGACTCAAACACCTTGAGAATGACTGTCTAATGACACAAACACCTTGAGAATGACTGTCTAATGACACAAACACCTTGAGAATGACTGTCTAATGACTCAAACACCTTGAGAATGACTGTCTAATGACACAAACACCTTGAGAATGACTGTCTAATGACTCAAACACCTTGAGAATGACTGTCTAATGACTCAAACACCTTGAGAATGACTGTCTAATGACTCAAACACCTTGAGAATGACTGTCTAATGACTCAAACACCTTGAGAATGACTAATGACTCAAACACCTTGAGAATGACTGTCTAATGACTCAAACACCTTGAGAATGACTGTCTAATGACTCAAACACCTTGAGAATGACTGTCTAATGACACAAACACCTTGAGAATGACTGTCTAATGACTCAAACACCTTGAGAATGACTGTCTAATGACT